ACCTTCAAAATAATTATGTACAAATTGAAATAAATGTTTATATGAACCCAAGTTTACATGCCATAGCTCACTAAGATTTGTTATTTTGAGGAAGTGGTGAAAACTTTCAGAAGAAGAATGGAGGGTTGGTATTCTAAACTGCTTTCTGGAATGGGGAGAGTGGTTTTAGTTCAGTCAGTTCTGAGTTCTATTCCAATTCATATGCTTGCTTGTGTAAATATTCCCAAGGGGATACTTAAGCAATTGAACTCCATCATTGCTGGGTTTATTTGGTCTGCTAAACTGGATGTTAGAAGGAGACATTGGGTTTCCTTGGAAAACATTTCTAAGCCTAAGATTGAAGGAGGGTTAGGGATCAGGAGTTTTGGTGAATTACAGTCTGCCTTCATAATAAAGCAGGTCTGGGGTATTCTAAATGGCCAATCATTGTGGGCCAAGGTGTTTAGAGAGAAGTTTTGTAGAGGAATGCATTTACTGAGGTGTGGGGTGTCTGGGAAGGGTCAAGGTTTTAAAGTTCTGAGACCTTGGTTTGAATTTGTAGTTAATAATTCTTTGATGCTGGTGGGCAATGGTCAGAATTCTGACTTCTGGTGTGACCTATGGATGGACGCTGGCCCTTTGCTTCATAGGATTGATGGTTTACCTGTGGTGTTCCCAAAGATTAGTGAGCTATGGCATGCTAATGAGTGGCGCTTAGATGAGGTGGCTGAGTGGCTTACTCCTCAGTTGCAACNTGATGGTTTACCTGTGGTGTTCCCAAAGATTAGTGAGCTATGGCATGCTAATGAGTGGCGCTTAGATGAGGTGGCTGAGTGGCTTACTCCTCAGTTGCAACATGAGATCAGGAGTTCTGGTTTAGTGTTGACAGAGAGGCCTGATACTAGGATCTGGAGGCATACTAATTCTGGTTCATTTTCAGTGAAATCTCCATGGTTCCAGATTAGAAGGAGGGGAGTTCAAAGTGTTATTGCTCAGGGTATATGGAATCAGCAAATATTTCCTAGTGCTCAGTTGTGTACTTGGAAGATTTATAGGGATGCTTTGTCCACTGATGCTAGAGTGAAAAGTGTGGGTGTTTCCTTGGTAAGTAAATGTAGTTTGTGTGGGTTGGAGGAGGAGAATGTTAATCATTTGTTTGTTAAATGTTGTTTTGCTAATGATGTGTGGAAAAGGCTATCATCTATCATGGGTTNGGGTTGGAGAAGGAGAATGTTAATCATCTGTTTGTTAAATGTTGTTTTGCTAATGATGTGTGGAAAAGGCTATCTTCTATCATGGGGTTTGTGCTGTGCTCTGGTGAAACCCCTATTTGTAGACTGTTAAGGTTGCTTAGATGTTTTAAGGCCCAATCCTTGAGTCATTGTTTGATCAGGGGAGTTGCTATGTTGATTTACTGGGCTATATGGAAGGAAAGATGAAGGAGGAGGTTTGAGGGGTTGTATTTGAATGCATACACAATCTTTATGCAGGTGACTAGTGCTTTGAGATGGCAGGCTTGTATGATTAAGCCTAAGAGATTGGATGATTGTAGGGGAAAGGAAATGTTGTGGGATTTGAAAATTACATCATCTTTTTCTGTTATGACTAGTGTTATGTGGATTAAATGGGATCCTCCTCCTGGGTCCATGTTGAAACTGAATGTTGATGGTGCATCCAAGGGGAGTAGTGGACTTGCAGGTGGTGGGATGGTCATAAGAAATTCCCAGGGGCATATGGTGGTGGCAGCTGCTGCTTTTTATGGGGTTGGGTCTAATATGAAAGCTGAATGCCTGGCCTTGTTGGATGGATTGAAGTTGATATTGAGAAATGGTCTGGAGGGGAGTCAGATTTGTATTGAATTTGATTCTCAGGTCTTAGTTAAGATGGTCTTAAGACAGGCAGAAGTGCCTTGGAGAATGAGGGAGGTTTTGGAGCAAATATGGAGGGTTTTGGATAAGCTGCATTTCCAGATAGGGCATATTTACAGAGAGACCAATGTTATTGCTGACTTTTTGGCCTCTTCTGCTGTGCAGACTGGCAGATGTCATGAGTTTTTTGAGAATGATGTGCTGCCTTTTGATGGGAGATTACTTTTACGGAGGGACCAGGGCATGTTACCTACTGCTAGATTAAAGAGGAGGGTTGTGTTCGATAAAAGGAATGGAGCTGGATGAATTAGTGTCTTGATGAGCAGTCTGTGGTTGCTCAGATTTTTCATGACTGAGATATGCCTGTATTGGCAGTGATTAAGTTGATAATTGTCTGCATTGTGGGAGGAGTCGGTTATTCTGATCTGACTGTTCATGACTGATGGCTTGGTATCTTGGTAATTGGTGTGTGCAGTCTGAGTATTCTGCTGTGATTGCATTGCACTTTTCTGGACTGATCTGGAATATTCAGTTTCTTGGTGTCTTGTTGATGTTGTTCTGGTCTTTATTTCTGCTGATCTGCTAAATTGATGAGCTGCTGCTGTTTTTGTTGGAGCTGAATGTTTGTTGCTGCTGGAACTGTGTGCTGAAATGCTGTTGTAGCAGGAGCTGCCCTGGGAAGGCAGGAGATGAGGGATTAATGATGTAGCTGATGCTGTGAGCTGAGCTGAGAAAAGACAGTCCTTGGTTGCTTCATGCCCGGTGCTGCTTTTGCATTGATTGCTGGGCAGCTGTTGCTAAGCTGCTTATGCAGAGTTGCTGGACTGCTGCTGTCTTTATTTCTGCTGAGTTGCTGAGTTGATGTTGCTGTTTGCTGATGCCTGCTGCTGAAGAGCTGCTGGCTGAAGTTGCAATGGTTTGATGGCAGGATCAACATACAGTTATTGTACAGAAATTTGAGGATAGTCTTTCTGTTTGTTGTATACAGTTTAGAGTGTGCAAAAAAGTGTTTTTGAGACTTTTAACTTATAAAAAATACTTTTTTTAAAAAAATAGTGTTTGGATTAACTTATTAAAAACACTTTTTGATAAGTAAAAGTAATTTGAGCACTTAAATAAGTTAATAAAAAAAAGTAAAAATAATTAACTTTTACTTTTAAAAATCACTTTTCATTTTTCATCGTATTTTCTCCTCTCACTCCCCCAATAGCTCTCCGCAAGTCCTTGAGGCCAAAGCCCTTCATGTAGCCACTTCTCTCGACGCAGACGCTGACGCCAACGCCGGCAATATATTCACTCATCTTGCCGACCAACGACACTACCTTCTCTCTTGCCAACTACCAACTATGCCGGAACCGTCTTCTCTCTCACCGATCTTTGAGGTACAATATCTGTGAGATTTTCCTCGGAAAGTCCGCCGGAGATTTTCTCAAGTCATCAGTGAGTTCAACTCTTTCAATTTATTATACTGTCACCTACATCAATGGAATCTTATGCTACACACATTCCACTCTGTATCTCTGTGGACAAATATTATATATGTGTGTGTCTGAATTGTTATGTAGTTTGGATATAGATTAATTAGCTTTTCAAATTTGTTTTCCTACTAAGAACTTGGGATTCAACTGAAGAATCGAACTAAAAGTGTTAATCTGTTCTTATGTTTGTGTGAAGTTGATTGTTTCGCCAGGTGTTTGATATGATGCCAATGAGAGTTTGTTACTTTGAAATAGGTTGGGATTTGGCATGTGGGTATGGTTTTCGGAATGTGGGTTGATGTATTTGGAATGGTTGGCCTATTTTACAAGCCTATTCTATCCTGATGATGATCATGATCATGAACATATATATATATATTGGAGCTTTGTGTTTGTCATTATCTTTTAAGGATTAAAGAAATTGGCTGTGAGTGGGTCAGTGATGCATTGTGTGGTTGGGTTTTGATTGCTATATTTAGAAATTTCTGTTGTGAAATGCACCCAGATCTCTCTTTTGTTTGGCTTTAGCTATTTGGTCTTTTCTTCTAGCTGATAACACTTTATTTTTTTTAGATCAAAAAAAAATTTCGCTAACCTAGTCCAGCACTGCCCAAGGACACCCCTAATCCCAGAACTACTACTACAACCAAAATTGGCTCTCAACCGGGGTCTACCTAAAAAGTAGTAGAGGGATTTCACCACCACACCCCTGCCCTGGGCAGGTGACATTGCTCAGTGTTGTTTTGCACGACAGACTTATGATGTAATATTGCACAAGCAATTTTGCATTTAAATTATACCCGTTGTTTTAGTCCCTTTTAGAACCAATTGCATATTCATTCTGCAAAAGGACTTGCTTCTCTTATTCAGTTGTTTCTGTTCAGTTAAAAATGATAGAGACTAGAGTTGATGTTTGGTCTTAAATGACCGAAACCTAAGTTAACCTTCATGGCCACTGCTAGAAAGTTGACTAAAGGTAGTCGTAGCTGTGTGGAGTTATCTGTCACTTTAACCATGAGCACTTCCTGAGGAAAGGTCTTTTTTTTTTCCATTAGAGTATCATTTCGTTGCTGTTGTTTAAACCCCTGGCCTATCGTGCAAGTTTTGTTTGCTGCTTCCTTGGATTCCCTGCAAGAATGATTCATACTCCAGTGAGGGTGGTTTTTGAGCAACTATTTCATGTCATGCCTCCTAGATTATAGGAAGGATTGTTCAATGTTGTTTGACATTGAAATTTTTTAGTGAGTTTAACACACCACAAATAAAAAATTGTACATTTCTATTGAATAACTGTCATTTATTATATTATCACAATTTTTCTTTGAAAAATTCAACTTGTGTGGCTCACAAGGTATTTTTGTGACAACCTCTCATTAGAAGAAAATATGTATGAAATTTATACAAGGCTTTGTTCAAGTTAATTATTATTATACGTGAAGNGGGCAGGGGACATTGCTCAGTGTTGTTTTGCACGACAGACTTATGATGTAATATTGCACAAGCAATTTTGCATTTAAATTATACCCGTTGTTTTAGTCCCTTTTAGAACCAATTGCATATTCATTCTGCAAAAGGACTTGCTTCTCTTATTCAGTTGTTTCTGTTCAGTTAAAAATGATAGAGACTAGAGTTGATGTTTGGTCTTAAATGACCGAAACCTAAGTTAACCTTCATGGCCACTGCTAGAAAGTTGACTAAAGGTAGTCGTAGCTGTGTGGAGTTATCTGTCACTTTAACCATGAGCACTTCCTGAGGAAAGGTCTTTTTTTTTCCATTAGAGTATCATTTCGTTGCTGTTGTTTAAGCCCCTGGCCTATCGTGCAAGTTTTGTTTGCTGCTTCATTGGATTCCCTGCAAGAATGATTCATACTCCAATGAGGGTGGTTTTTGAGCAACTATTTCATGTCATGCCTCCTAGATTATAGGAAGGATTGTTCAATGTTGTTTGACATTGAAATTTTTTAGTGAGTTTAACACACCACAAATAAAAAATTGTACATTTCTATTGAATAACTGTCATTTATTATATTATCACAATTTTTCTTTGAAAAATTCAACTTGTGTGGCTCACAAGGTATTTTTGTGACAACCTCTCATTAGAAGAAAATATGTATGAAATTTATACAAGGCTTTGTTCAAGTTAATTATTATTATACGTGAAGTGCTAATAACCTATGTATTTTGTGATGTTACTTTAGATGGCTTCTAGTAGTTCTAGGAATGACAAAGATAAATCAAATTGGATTGTGGAGAGACATAAAACTTTCAAAAGTGGAACTTGTTTAGGTGTTTTTTTTAGATAAAGTTTCAAATGTTTTTTTTAGTTTCAAACATTTGATTTCACTAAACAAATGTTTATTGTTGTTGCTTGCATGACTTGCCACCATTACATAAGGCTTCATGGCATTAGAGACTTATTATTTGCAAGATATGCTAATGAAGATGTGGAGTTAGAGGACGAAGACAATGTAAACCAAATTGCTTTTGAAGAGGATATTGATTTGTCAGATACAAATCCAATGTATAGGAGGAGAGAACGTATTGTGTCAGCAATTCTAAGGGACAATCAAGCATGATTTTTGATTGTATTAATTATTAACATGTGTTTTTTGCGACTTTATGTCATTGAGATAGTTGGACTATATAGTTTTTTCATATGATACCTCTNACATGTGTTTTTTGCGACTTTATGTCATTGAGATAGTTGGACTATATAGTTTTTTCGTATGATACCTCTATTAATATGATATTTTTGTCTATGATTTTTTTTTTGTGTATTATTATATGTGTAGTATATGTTTGTATATGTGCATTCAATACTATTAATAATTGGGACAAAAATAAGTGTTTTCACATCCAAATGTGTTTTTTATAAAATACATTAATTTAAGTATTTTAAATTTTGAGTATCCAAACAATACTTATTTAATAAAAGTGTTTTTCTTTTAAACACTTTTGATAAACATTTATTAAAAAAGTACTTTTTGGATTTCATAAGTCATCCCAAACACACTCTTACTGCTTTTGTTTTTAAAGCAGTTACTGTTTTCCTTAATTTTTTTTGTAATTCTTTTTTCATGGAATAAAATTTTCTTTCTTTTTGGCAAAAAAAAAAAAGAAAAAAGAACTAGCCCTTCTAGACTCTCTCTCTTGAGTTGTATTTAGAGTGTGTTTGGCATCACTTAAAAAAAAGTGTTTTTGAGACTTTTAACTTATGAATAATACTTTTTTTAAAAAGGTAGTGTTTGACTTAACTTATTAAAAACACTTTTTAATAAGTAAAAGTAATTTGAACANAAAAAAGAACTAGCACTTCTAGACTCTCTCTCTTGAGTTGTATTTAGAGTGTGTTTGGCATCACTTAAAAAAAAGTGTTTTTGAGACTTTTAACTTATGAATAATACTTTTTTTAAAAAGGTAGTGTTTGACTTAACTTATTAAAAACACTTTTTAATAAGTAAAAGTAATTTGAACACTTAAATAAGTTAATAAAAATAATTAACTTTTACTTTTAAAAATCACTTTTCATTTTTACTTTTCATTTTCTCCTCACTCCCCCGATAGCTCTCTGCAAGTCTTCTCACTCCTCACTTTTCATTTTTAACTCTCTGCATGTAACCGCTTTCTTCTCTCTCGACGCGGACACCGACGCCGACGCCGATGTTAGTAATATATTCTCTCATCTCGCCGACCAATGACACTACCTTCTCTCTCGCCAACTACCAATGACGCCGGAGCCAAGGAGCTGATGTATTTTTGTTCTCTTCTATCTGCCTAACGAGCTATTTCAGGCTGCAACGAGATACAATATCTTCTTTCCTGGGTTGATGTATTTTGGTTTGTATTTTTTTTTTTTTTGATGATGATAAAATTTCTGGAAATCAAGGAGCTGTTTACGGTATCAATTTTTGATGTATTTGGGGAAATTGTTTTTTATTTTTTTGATCCATGATTACTATGAAAATCACTATATTATTTTACTTCCATAATTCATTGCTCTTTCTCACATTTAATTTTTAACAAAATTGGACAGTTTGATAGAATGCCCACCAATTGTTTGATAAAATGACTATCAATTGAACAAAAGCACCGTAGCTAGAAACATCCTGATGTTACTGCCATTGGTGCTTTAATAGTTGCTTTAATCTTGCTTAAAGTGTTACTGCCATTGTTGGTTCTTTGTATGTTATTACTTCTCCTCTTGCCAACCAGTTGCACTTTTGTGCAAGTAATTGTTTTAGATTTTGATATGCAGTGGATTAGGGGATGTTGTGCGCCTCAAACAAAGTGTAATCGGTAAACCAGTGGCTTCTATTTATGAAGTAATCGATGATTGAGATTACAAAGTGGCATAGCGCACAGTACATTCATCACATAATCAGGTTCCAAGGGAACCAAAGCATACAAATCCTACTGTCTGTACCTCTGTGTGTGTGTGTGTGAGAGAGAGAGAGAGAGAGAGAGAGAGAGAGAGAGAGGCCCGAATCAAGCTCAGTTGCAGAGGAATTTACCATAGAAAATAATATATAAAATTGTGCAAGTAATTGTTTTAGATTTTGATGAGCATTTCAGATAATGGTGTTTCATTTTGTTTTAGTAGAATAGTGATAATTAGGAGATAGCAGCGTAACAGTGATTAAGATGGTAGATGGAACTAACTCTGATGAATAAGAGGAAAATTTTCTGGCTAGTAATTCAACAGAGAGCCATGACTGCAAGCATTTGAATCTTAGGCTTAACACTATCCACCTATAAGATTAGCCCTTATCTGTGATTGGTGTTTATGGTTGTTCCTATTCCTTTTGATCTTCTGGTATTAAGGA